TTTTTTTTTTTTTTTTTTTTTTTGGAATTGTTTATAAATTCAAGTAGGTTGTTTTAGGCATTTCAGCTGTACGGCCCACTGTGCAGCGTTTATATAGCTTTGGCAGCCATTTTACTGTTGCCTCGGTAGCTGCTGCTGCTGCTTCACGTATAATGAGTAGAGTCCTTGTTAAAGGAGTGAAAGAGATGGATAGCGAGTGAGAGAGAGTCTTCTTCAATATTCGATATGTTTTTCCTTGTTGTAGTTGGGTTTTCCTTTCCTTCAGTTTTCTTCTGCTGCATTCAAAATGGGATTTTTACGAGTTGAGTTTTTTGCGTTGTTGTCTGAGCTGTTCCTTTGTGGCCAACAGGGCGTGTCTCTGGACTTGTCGCTTGCCTCAAAATTTACTTATCTGCATGTATATAATGTGTCTGTGGATATATATACCTCTTGCTTATGTCAGTCAACAAAAATGTCAAAACACCTGGGTTGTTGGCACACGATTCACGATTCGCGATTCGCAATTCAGGCGATATTCGCGATATGTGTGTTGTATGTGAGTCGGCCGAAATAGTCCAAGTGTCCGTGATGTTTGCATATAGCCGCTATATACACACACCGTATGCCTCTGCGGCTGTCGGATTTCAAATAGATTTCGTTGCAGTAAACGTCGAGTGAAGTCGAATTTCATTTCCGTTTAGCGAGTTGGCAAAGTGGGCTAAATGGCCAAAAGCAAGGACTCTCAGTTGGCAGTTGGCCTCGATGCAAGTTTCGTTTTGGCTAAAACTCCATGCACGGGCAGAGGCAGAGGCAGAGGCAGAGGCAGAGGCAGAGGCACCCATAATGCCTGCCCTGCTCTGTGTCGAATTTGTATACTAGAAACAGAATGCATAATTTGCCGCTGCTGGCAGAAAACTCATAAATATCATTTCTATACGCTCAGCCAGAATGAAAACAAAATATAAATAAATATCTATGTATATAGACAACTTTGTGACTGTACACACAGCAAACACACACACTCACACACACACACACACAGAGACATGCATATATGTGAGTGTAGTTGGTGCAGAGAAACTTACGCATTGGAAGCAAAACAAAACTATTTAAAAATAGAAAAAAGTACCAAGAAATCAAAATCGAAATCAAAAAGTGCAGTGTGAAAAGCAGAGTCAAAGCGTCATCCTCGTCGATCGTCGCAAAGACAAAAAAAAAAAAAAAAAAAAAAAAAAAAAAAAAAAAAAAAAAAAAAAAAAAAATACAAGAAAACTAAAAACAAAAACAAATTCTATAAAGCTAAAGTGTGAATCCGATCAATGGAATGAGCCCTTAAAGAGCAAGGGAGAAGGGGAGCGAGTGACTATAACTATAAATAAGAACAGCGCCAAGCAAGTTGGCAACAAGTGAAGTGAAGCAGCAGCCCGAAGCAGCCACATCGATTGGGTCTTTTGTCCCTGAGACTGCGTTGGTCCAACGTAACGCCAACAACAGTCCAATATACCAAAAATAAAATCAACGCGGGCAGCCACAAAAGCTGCGACCAACAACAGTCAGCAGCAAGCAACATCTGCTGCGGCAACATTTTAGAAACTGCAAAAACAGCAGCAACAAACGAAGGCAACATTTGTCGTAGCAACACGAGTCTCTGCCGGCAACACCAACAGTGCAACATTTGCTGAGAACATTTGGCAGGCGCATAAAGCTGGCAACATTTGCTGAGAAGTTGCAAGAGCTAGCAACAATTGCAACGGCAACATCTAGAGCTGGCAACATTTGAATAACAACTTGGCTACAACGATAGCAACATCAGCTGGCCACATTTGCTGCGGCAACATTTGAATAGCAACTACAACGTTAGCAACAGCAGCGGGCAACATTTGCTGCAGCAACATTTGAGTAGCGCCTTTGCAACTCGATGTTGTTGCTTTTGCTTGCTTTCATTATGAGATTCGTAGACATTTCCAAAATGCAACGGCGTCAACGCTGCACGTCGTGTGCCAGCGCTGGCATTGAATGCCCGCGCAGCAACAACAACAACAACAACAGCTGCAGCAACAACAACTCAACTGCTGATGCCAATGGCAACACGCAGTGCTGGCAGCATGTGCCTAGCGCAAGCAACAGCAGCAGCACCAGCAGCGGCTGTGATAGCAGCAGCTCCTCCAAGGAGAACTACTATGCTCCGCAACAGCAGCAACAGCAGCAACAACAACAGCAGCAATATTACAACAACAATGGCCTAACGGCACAGCAACTGCAGCAGCTGCGCTACTATCAATGCATGCAACAGCAACAATTGCAATTGCTGCAACAGCAATTGTTGCAGCGTCGTCGATTGCAGCAGCAACTGCGCGACCAGGGCGTCAATGTATGCAAAGCAACAACAACAACAACAACAGCCGGACTCACCTGCAATCAGCAATATTTGCTGCAACAGAGGCAGCAGCAGCAACAATATGTTGCCAATTACAACAACAACAACTGTGAGCTGGACAAAAGCTACAATCTAAACAACAYCATCATCAACAACAACAACAACATTCGTATTGGCCCAAATGTGGCTCAAGGTGCGCAGTCTTAGCCCTAAGTCTTTGTCTTTGTCTTTAAGTCAATTCCCATTTAATTTTGTTTGTTCGCCTTTGAACTCGTTTCTCGGGGCCTCTGCAAATAATTTGCCCAGCCAAAGAGCTCGGCCAATATTATTATTTCTTGCTCAAATTGACTTTACTCAACGAGCGCTGCGGAGTCTCTTGAGACTTTCCTCAATTGAAACATAATTGGCATTAATAACGAAAAAGTGGACTTTAAGTGAATTCCTGCTCCGTTAATTAATCTCGAAGCGCAAACTGCAGTCGCCTGTTGTTACAGAGATATTGTATACAATATGATATAAGAGCTTAATATACATATATGCACTGAACCCCATGGAAATGCAAATTCATTTTATGAAATTGAAGCACACAGAAAGAAAGAAGCATATTCTGGTTAAGCTAAATAGATCTAGCTATGTCCGTCAGGCCTCAGGGTATTTGCTAGTCGGGCATACTCAAGTAGAGCATGTAAATGGTTCGTTGACAATTGAAAAGTTGAGTCTAGTTAGGTTCGTTAAGATTCAGGGCATCTCTTAGTCTGGCACTACCGAGTAGAGCCCTTTTATTTGTTAAATTGCTTCTAGGTAAACTTGGGTAACAGAAGTAAGATGTTCTCATATATATCCACATACTTCGTATTCAGTTTGGTTGCTATAAAAATTTCATAACGATCGTACCACTAGAAGCTGAGTTCAATTAAGTTATTTTCCCCTTTATGGGTAGCTGTAGGCGGATCAGGCACAGCCACCGCTTAAAGTGAGCTGTAAATGAAGCGTGTGCTCATCTAAGTGGGTGTTTACTATGTATATGTGTGTGAGTGCACATCTTTCTCTCGGAGTATGCATAGACAATAGGTCTAAATGGATTCCTACGTATCTCTCAGTCGGGGAAATCTTAATTAGCTCAAGTTTTGTTTACATATTTCTTACAAAATGGCAGCTGGTTCAATTGTCTTATCTGCAAAGCTAATCAAATGTGCTCAGCACACGGGATATCTTATGTGTATATATCATAGATCTTACATAAGTCATATAATAATGCAGTTGCTCTGACATATTGCGCTCTATTTATCTTTATTGAATTTTCGTTTGAGTTGTCGCTGCCTTCTCGAAATAGAAATCGCCTCGTGTCACGCAAGTCTTCTTCTTTTCTTCTTCTTTCACCTGGCCCGCTCTAATTGACTTCACCTCTGCAGTTGCATGTGCAACGCTCTGAATGCCACATTTAATTGAGAGCAGAGCCGAGTCAAGTTGGAGTTTCTTCGGCCTGGGTCATGGCGCTTGTCGTCGCTGCTGAGTCATAAAACTTGATTTCCATTAGCTGCCGAATCGTTATGCCCAAATAAGCTAATTGAGGGAGGGAGCAGGGGAAAAGAACGCGCGGCATGCTAATGCGCATTAACTAGAAGCTATAAATGTTCCATAGACTATAAACTATAAAATCAATTCAAAATAGAAGAGTGAGATATAGATATAGATACAGATATAGATATAGATATAGATATAGATATAGATATAGATATAGATATAGATATAGATATAGATATAGATATAGATATAGATATAGATATAGATATAGATATAGATATAGATATAGATATAGNCTTACATAAGTCATATAATAATGCAGTTGCTCTGACATATTGCGCTCTATTTATCTTTATTGAATTTTCGTTTGAGTTGTCGCTGCCTTCTCGAAATAGAAATCGCCTCGTGTCACGCAAGTCTTCTTCTTTTCTTCTTCTTTCACCTGGCCCGCTCTAATTGACTTCACCTCTGCAGTTGCATGTGCAACGCTCTGAATGCCACATTTAATTGAGAGCAGAGCCGAGTCAAGTTGGAGTTTCTTCGGCCTGGGTCATGGCGCTTGTCGTCGCTGCTGAGTCATAAAACTTGATTTCCATTAGCTGCCGAATCGTTATGCCCAAATAAGCTAATTGAGGGAGGGAGCAGGGGAAAAGAACGCGCGGCATGCTAATGCGCATTAACTAGAAGCTATAAATGTTCCATAGACTATAAACTATAAAATCAATTCAAAATAGAAGAGTGAGATATAGATATAGATACAGATATAGATATAGATATAGATATAGATATAGATATAGATATAGATATAGATATAGATATAGATATATTCATATATCTCCAACAGATTTCGAATAATTCCAATTCCTTTTACTACAGATCTTACCTATATATCACCTCTATTTATTTCTCGATTCGCTCTCTTGCAGGTACTCATTTGCGACGTGGTATGACCGACATCTCAACAGCGAACGACATCAACAATTTCAGCAACATCAAGCGCCATATCGAACACCCATTCACCTCGCCACAAAGTTCACCCACAACTCACAAACCATACGCCAAAACTAATCCAAATCAAACGCAAATCAATTTGAATTCACGCTTAACCCAGCAGCAACAGCAACAATCGTCGAGAGTCGGGGGTAAGCAATACAACGGCAACACGGCTGCATTCAATACTAGTTTGGCCAACGCCAGCGGCCCAGGCTCGGCCCCGCAGTCCCCGCAGCACTACCGCATCCCCCTGAACAGCCCGAACAACTCGCTGTTCACGCTAGCCCATGCGACGGCCGGCAGGCAGCGGTACAAGCAGCAGCAGCTGAACGACCGCCTGCTGCAGCAGCAGCACCTGCAGCACTGCCAGCAGCAGCAGCAGCAGCAGCAGTGCAATGAGGAACTGAGCGAGGAGAGCCTCAAGCAGAATGTGGCCATCGTCCTGAGCAACTTGGATCGCTACAACAGTGCGCTGCGCAGCATCATACTGAACGAGCAGGTGAACCACATCAGCAGCAACAGCAGCGACAGCCTCTTTCTGCTCGACAACATCGCCGAGCCCGACAACAACAACGTCTCAGTGAGGAGCAGCGCCATGGCAGCGACAAATGTGGCGGCTGTGCTCACGCCCGAATCGGATTACAACAGCAATGCAACAACGCCGGGATCACAGCAGCAGCAGCAGCAGCAGCAGCAACAGCAACTGCAGCAGCAGCAGCAGCAGCAGCAACTGGGGGTAGGTGGTATGCTTTGTGGTGGTGGTAACGGTGGTGGTGGTGGTGGTGTCGGTGGTGGTGGCAACAATCTCAACTGTTCGCTGGCCTCGTCGCAAGACTTTACTCACGACAATTCCGATTATCAGTGGTTCCTCGACTACGGCTATCGGGATGGCTGCGGCGGCATGCAGCGCAGCGTGCTCAGCTCGCTGTCGGCCTCGTACAATGCCATGGGCGACTTCTTCTACTACGAGGATCTCAAGAACCTGGACGCCAATCTGGCCGAGGTGGACATGGAGAGCTTTCGGGCGGAGGACATACACTCGCTGCTCTCCCAGCTGCCCGCCTACTGCAAGAGCTTGGGCGGCGCCAACAGTCGCCTGCAGCAGTCGCTGCTCTACCAGCAGCAGCAGCAGCAGCAGCAACAGCACCAGCAACAGCAGCAGCAACAGCAGCAGCAACAACTACAGCTGCAGCTGCAACACAGCAATATGATGAGCAACATGCAGCACATGGCGCACAACATGTCGCAGACCTCGACCACGTCCACGAACGAGCTAATTGACAATTCATTCTGCAAATCGGAGCTGCTCTTCTCGCCCGTCAAAGAGTCGCACATATCGGTGGACTCGCTGGACATGGACGCCTACCCGGACGAGGGCGACATCATCTTCACCTGCAACAAGGACAACTACACCATCGCCTTCGAGGGCAGCGTCCTCTACTCGGACGACAGTTTCTATGGTAAGCCTCTGCCTGCTGTCATTCAATGTGGCAATCCGACTTCACTGCATTCTCCATCTGTTTACAGCGGAGCCCTGCGACATCGCCGCCAGGAACAAACAGAACTGCATCAATCTGCACAGCAATCTGGACGACATCGTGAAGCGCAACAAGGCCCTGGAGGTATCCATGTCACGCTCGGCCCAGTCTTTTCAGCTGCCCTGCAAGTCACCAAAGACGCCGACTAAAGCTCAACTACAGCGGTGAGGCAACGCAAGCATGCAGAAAGCAACACAGTGCATGTACAGTGAAAACTGCTGTGAATGAACACTCGGACTTCTAGAAGAACTGAAAGGAAAAGCTAGATGTTTGTTGCTGGCGAATTCCTTAGGCACTTGGATCAGTTTGTAGTTTAAGGAATTCATTACCATGTGAGATGAGCATAGACTTTCATAAGAGGGTGGGGGTATAGGGTGTAGGGTATGCAGTACCCTAATGGACATAAAGTCTATCACGTTAACTGATCTCTCCTAGATACCACAGTCGATTCTAGCTCATAAATCCTCCTAGAAAGTAGAATTAGTGTTTATGTGGGAGGATTTCAGATATACCAAATATAGTCTAGAATGTCTTTAAAATCAGTTGGGATCCGTCAGTTTCAGAGTTACTAAATAGCTCAAATTGAAGGGGTAAACCAATAGTCTAAAATTTCCATTATATTTAGGGAAATTATTATTAGAGAAATTCCATAGATTAACCCTACGTAAAGGCGTGGAATATAAATGTGGGCAGAGGGTTTCACACAGGGTTGATTCCTGGAATTTCCCTGAGTATAATTTCCCGTAAATATAATGGGAATATTTGACTTTGAGTCTGTTAGACTAATGCGGTTGAGGGCAATGATTGAGCTGTTCGTTCACGGAGGGATCACTGTATGTGCACACACACTTACCCAGTCATACACACACACACACCCTCAGATTGGTTTTTGACTGTCGAGCAACGCATGGCGGATGTCTGAGTAAACCCACTTTGCGCTGTCCCCTTTTTCCGACTTTGCTGCGAATGCAGGCCGCGCTGAGAGGTCATTTCAATTGATTTCAATTGGGTTTCATATTCATGGCAAGCAAATTGACGCTCGACTGCGAGAGGCATGCGAAAATAAACAGAGCTCGAGTGGGACAAATGTTTCCAAAGAGAGAGAGAGAGAGAGACAGAGAAAGTGAAAGTAGATTAGGAAAACCTGAATAGGGAGAGGCAGAGAGAGAGAGAAACCAGAAGGTGTAGATGCAGGCGCCAGGGGCAGGCGCAGGTAGTACCAGAACKTCCTTTGCTCGAGTCAAAAACCAATTTTCGTAAACTTTCCAACAAAAACAAAACAACAAAATTATAATGTGAAATGTTTGCTGTGTCTGCGCTGTGTAAAGACGCTCGCTTCTCCTTGTCTCGCCCGCGCGCAGGTATCCTTCGGGCAACAACAACAATGGCGGAGGAGGAGGAGGAGGCGCAGCAGGGGAAACCATTATACTCACGCGCCATTTGCCGCAATGCAGCGTGCGCAAGAGCAACAGTCTACCAAATCTGTCCAGCGAGCTGACGCTGAGCGAGGAGCAGCAGCAGCAGGAGGAGGACAAGCTGCAGTCGGATCGTTCGGGGCCATTGAACGTCTCGCAGGCGATAAGTACCTCGACCATGGAATCGTGCTCGACGCGCTCCAGGAACCTGCTGCCCATGTGCCAGATGCCGATCTCAATCAGCGTGTCCGTCTCGGAGCGCCTGCAGGAGGCGGATGAGCGGCACAAGGATGGCACGCCCACGCCCACGCCTCAGCAGCAGCAGCAGCAGCATACGCAGCATCATCATCACTCGCATCAGCATCGCCACAAGCATCGCTGCAGCTGCGCGCTGTCCTCCACGCAGGGCAGCCAGAACTTCTGCTCGAATGCTTCCCATGGCCACATCTCTGGCTCGGGCTCGGGCTCGGGCTCCGCCTCGTCGGGCAACTCGAACCCGGCCGCCTTCAATCTAGTCAAGCTGTTCATCAAGCAGAAGAGCCACAACAGCAGCAGCAGCAACAGCAACAGCTGCGCCCAGGAGGAGAACCAGGCCTGCGCGCTCACCTGCATGGACGTCTCCTCGGGCTGCTGGCCGTCGAGCGACGCCGCCGCCTCCAGCTGCAGCAGCGGCTCCCTGGAGAAGCGTCTGCGCAAGAAGAGCATGCACGACTCGGGCAAGGGCTCGGCCGTGAGTCGCCACGACGAGGAGGACAACTACGAGGATGCCGACGCCGACGCTGACGTCGACGGCGACGGCAACGGCGAGACGGCGTCGACGCCCAAGCGACAGCTGCGCACGCGCTGCGATGCCGTGTTCTACGACGACGGCGCCAGCTCCAGCTCGACGGGCTCCTTGACGGCCACCAATTCGCCGGCGCATCGCCGCCGCAGCATGCCCTTGCGCAATCCGCAGCTCTATCAGCTGGCGGCCAGCTCACAGACCCAGGCGCAGGCGCAGACGCAGACGCAGTGCAGCCAGCAGTCGTCGGAGGCGAGCAACTCGGAGCAGCTGACCGAGGTGCCCATGCAGGCGGTAGGCAAGCCCAGGCGCGGCTCGAGCAATCGGCCGCTGTCGTGCGCCTCCAGCTCGGAGATGATCACGCGCTCGATGCAGACCTCCTGCGGCTCCCTCAGCACGACGCACAGCAGCCTGAGCGAGCGGTACCGGTGCGTGCCGCCCTCGTTCCTCGCCAAGCTGCACAACCTGGGCGAGCAGTGCGAGGCGCCCATCTACGTGATCTACCCGAACTACGCGCTGCCCGACCTGGGCTTCGTCAAGACCAGCAGCAGCAGCACCGACGTCATCTTCTCGCCCTTCAACTACAAGATGACGCTGGACAGCGCCGGCTCCGGTGCCGGCGCAGGCGCAGGGGCAGGGGCAGGCGGCAGCTCGACGGGCTCGCTGGGCAGGAAGCAGCGCAGCAGCCAGGGCGCCAGGGAGAACCAGAACGAGCTGTTCAGGACGCTCGACTACAGGCACATCGCCGACTGGCAGTCGCTGGTGACGCTGCTGCCCGCCGAGTACCGGCAGCGCCTGCAACACATTCCCGAGGTGCGCCAGATCACGAGCCAGCTGGAGGCGGAGCTCTCGCAGCGCCCGCTGTTCTGCATGTCGCCGCCGATTCGACGCAACCGGCCGAGCATCTGCGACTGCGCCAAGAGCTTGCAGCAGACGCAGCTGGACGAGGCCTCCAGCTCGGGCTCTAGTCAGCCGCCCAGCTCCGGGTATCGCGGCTCGTCGACGCTGCTCACCGACTCGGAGGTCGATGCGGATCCCATGAAGCAGATGTATGTCTACCAGTACGAGCAGCAGCGCATGGACTCGGGCGCGGAGACGAGTCCTGCCAGCCGGCAGCAGCCGCAGCCGCAGCCGATGCCGCGCAGCATCCTGCGCAAGGCGAACTCGGCGCAAATGCGCACCAAGCGCAATTCCATGATCGAGGCCAAGCAGACGCAGCAGCTGTCGAAGCTGGAGAAGCGACGCAGCTTGCAGGAGCCGCCCCACAACTACGCCCTCGGCTCCACAGACGAGCTGGCCGAGGTCTTTGAGGAGGAGGAGCAGCAGCAGCAGCAGCAGTCGGCAGCCAACGCAACGCAGCCAGCCAAGCAGCGGCTATCGCGCAAGGATCTGGACGCACGGGCTCGAGCTGAGAGCTTCCTGGCTTCGCTGCCTCGCTCGGAGCTGAAGTATTACGCGGAGATAGCGGCGATTCTAGAGTCTTCCGGTGGGCAGGTGCAGTACGACGCGGCGGCCCTCAAGAAGGAGGTGAGCCGCGTGCTCAGCCAGCAGAAGAAGGTCTCCTTCAACGACGGCGCCAGCTGCGAGGCCGAGCTGCAGCAGCAGCAGCAGCAGCAGGGGCAGCAGGCGCAGGGCAAGCGCTTCACGACGCCACCGAATTCCCCCAACATTTCCATAGCTGCGCTGCAGCGGCGCGAGACGCTCGACGTGCAGGAGCAGCGCAAGATCGAGAGCAATCGCTTCAAGCGCCTGCAGATCCAGTGGGAGCTCATGAGCAAGGACTCGAGCATGCTCAAGGAGCTGGCCAACGAGCAGGCCACCAAGAGCGGTGGATCCACGCCTACCTCGACGACCTCAGCCAATTCCAACTCGGCGCAGAAGTCCCGCATCCCACGGCCAGTCAGCTATCCGGCGGGCAGGTGAGTTCGCGTGGGGGAGACAAACTGAATTCGATTTTCGAAATTATGATTTTTGGAGTCTTTGTGCTAAATTTGATTTCTTCTTCTTTTCATTTGGAACATTTATCGTTTGGCATGATTTATGTTTGTGTTTTGTTTCCGTACACACCGCCGGGACCACAGAAGTCCGAAGCCAAGTGCCGCCTCGCCTGCGGCAGTCGGCCAGACTAAGCGAAATTCGCCTGCTAATGTTATCTCCCCACAAATCTGCAGAGTCAGCGCCGTGCACGACGCGGCCAGCAGTGGCAAGTGCAACACCCGATCTCCCAGCCGCATTGTGCAGCCGAAGCGGTACAGCCTGGCCACCACGCCCACTTCCTCAGCAGCGCCCACGGCTGGACGAGCGCGCACCCCCACGGCACGCGGCGGCGTCGCCTCAGCGACCACACCCAGTACCCCCAAGCGTCAAGTAGCTGCAGCAACGTCCAGGTGTGTGAGCAGGTGTTGAAGGTTGCTAACTAACGAGAGAGAGAGAGAGAGAGAGGCGGTGGTGAAGCCGGGAAGATCATCGATGAATCATTGATGAACTGAACTGATTTGATTGTAATTTTAGTCAGACTTAATAGTTGGAAATGTTAGAGGAGGAATTTGTCTGTCAGTTAAATTGTAGTCATATTCCACAGATGTAAGATCACATAGAATGTAAGCCAGATCTTCTTTTGAGCTCCATTTTGAGATTACTACTGATGTGAGATGATATTCATTCAAATCAATATGAATTGAAAAGCAGAAGTAGAAATCTCTTAGCTAAATGTCTAAATATCATCTAAAATCTAGATCAACTAATTTGACAGAGCTTCTCAAGATCTTTTGCTAAGATCAAGATAATATCAATAAGATTTTAACTTCTTTATAAAAATGAAAATATTCTGACTGAATCTGAACCGCACTTAAGTTTAAGCTGAGAATTGATACAACAACCGACATTGACCAACAGTTAGTACAGTCTGGTTTTAAATGAGTCTTCAGAACTGGACCTTTAGCACTTTGGAGGTCTGAAAGAATGGAATAAGAGGAGGAATGGAATAAAAATCAAATCAAGTCAGCGCCAATCTCGTTATACTCTCTATATATAAAATCTCAGCGAACTTTACTAACTTCAAATTTCCTTGCAGACCCACATCGCGAGTACGTTAACAATGGAAGCGCTAGATGGAAGCCAAGCGACCTTAACGCAACAAGGGCGTGGCGCGCGTTTAACAATATCCAAAACCAACTCAAGCATATTGCGAGAAAAACAAGAAAACAACAATGAAACATTGTATAAAAAATAAATATAGATTAAGGCTTTGCGCGGCTCTTTTGCTTAGACAACTGGCCACTGAACAGCGCCCGGGTAGAGTGATACCAGAGAGAGAGAGAGAGAGAGTTAGCTCAAAGTAAGATCGGGTAAATCGGCTGATTAGGAAACGGGTGCGCAGCAGCGGTCAGTCGCAAGTGCTAAAGTATTTTTGATTGACTTTTAAGTTCAAGTGCAAGCAATGGCGGAGGTAGCTAAATTTTCTTTTGGATTTCCTTTTTGACAATTATACAAGACATAGATGCCAATATGCAAATATTTTGATGTATATATACACACACACACACACAGAGACTCACACACACACTCACTCATTCAGACACACGCAAACTTAAAAGTTATTTCCATTTAGCTAATCAAAAAGAAACGATAAACATATTTATGACACACAAATTTATACCTATATAATATATATATATATAGAGGGAGAGAGCAGGATGTGCGTAATGCTGATTATACAAGTACATTCTGGGAAAAGGAGAGCGCGATAAGCGAAAGAGAGAGAAGATGTGTAATGCTCAAATCGATGATTGAGGCAAAAATTACTATAATTATGCCTGAAAGCAAGGAATAATAATATTTATTACACAGGCCAACAAAATTTAAGAAATATCATAATCAAGCAGCTGATAATACTTTCCAGAAGATCTTTGACTGAGTAAAGCTTATGATATGAGCGTATTTCGAGTTAAGCGAGCTAAACACTCAGTATCTGAATTTGAATTTATTTTGCGTAAAGATCACTTTGATAACTGAACCTACTGCTCCTCATCTATAAATCTGCTTTTACATTTTTAAAAAATTCTTTAATATCACTGAAATATCATCTATTGAATTTACTAATCAAAAGTCCATAACATCTTTTTTCCCTCCTTAATCCCTTCAAGTCTTACTCAGTAGTTGAAATATTTTTGATAAACAAATTTGTAAACAGTTTAAGTAGTTCTTTCAGTTATCAAAATGATCTTTAAGAGTAAGGAATATCTCAAGGACTATAAGAGATATATCTCAGCCAGTTTGATTTATGATTACAGTCAGTCAAGAGACTTCTGGAAAGTAATGTTTGATTCATGTACTCAGATATCAAATGCATATTATTTGGCCTTTTACAACACTGAGTAAATCAATTTCTACATTGCCTTTAATATATTTAGCGAAAGACACTTAAGACACACAGACAGATAAGCCGCTTAGCAATTTTGTATATTTGACGATGATTTTGGATTTTGGTTTTTACTTTGAGTTTATTGTGTCTGCTTTTTGCTTTGCCTAAGCCTAAGTTCACGTGATTTCAAATCGTACGATTTAAGATTGTACTCTATAAATACGCCTATATTAATTACGCCTACTATGATTTGTACTTCAAGCTGACTAGAAACAGAAAAGAAGGAAACTCTTGCTATTCTTAATTACTGGAAGACATAACTTTAGTTTAAGCCTTACATTTAACCAACTTTTGTATCCTTAATTGTATAGACATTTTTATTGTATATCATATTTACAAGCAAAAGAAAACATAATGTATTTGTGGGTGAACTGTATCATGGAGAAGGATATGCGGGAGAATTAAA